AGAAGAAGAAGAAGAAGAAGAAGAAGAAGAAGAAGAAGAAGAAGAAGTAGTAGTAGTAGTAGTAGTAGTAGTAGTAGTAGAAGTAGCCAGAGGCTAGAGAAATGCCTCAGCAGTTAAGAACACAGTGCTGATTTTGCAGAGGACCCTGGTTTGAGTACCTGCACTCTTGTAGTAGTTCACGACCATCTGTAACTCCAGTTCTATGGTATCTGATACTTTCTTCTGACCTCCACGGGCACCAGACATGTATTTGGTGCACGTAAGTACATGCAGGCAAAAACATTCAGATATTAAAAAAAAAAAAATCTTAAAAATATAAAAGGAAATAACTTTTGGGTTCATCTAGCTTGTCACTCATGTGCTCTGGATGGTTGACATTTTGTTTCCCCTTATTGCGTCTATGTCACAGAGATGCTTTTTATAAAATAGTTGTTTTGCCAGCTGTACTCATTCAGATATGTTGCCAATTGGAAATGAATAATTTAATACCATATGATGGTTTTGAATCTGAAGCCAGTTAGTTTTCAGTACCTTATGGAAAGAGAGTTTTTGCTTATCTGTGGAGGTGGTTCTCCTTGGATAATTACCAGTCAGTTTTGTTTCTCTTGATTTGTTTGGAGGTTCTACCTAACTGTCATTCTCTATCCTCTCCTCCTTCTGGTCCATGTTGCAGGGTGATGACGAGCCAGAAATCCCAATAGATGGGACAGAATTATCTCACTACCGCCAGCGTGCCCTCCTGCAATCACAGCCAGTTCGCCGGACACCTCTCCTCCACAATTTCCTGCACATGCTGTCCTCCCGCTCCTCTGGCATCCAGGTGGGAGAGCAAAGCACAGTACAAGATTCTGCTACCCCCTCACCCCCACCGCCTCCCCCTCAGCCCTCCACGGAGCGTCCCCGGACTTCCGCTTACATCAGGCTCCGACAGCGGGTCAGTTACCCCACCACAGTTGAGTGCTGCCAGCACCCTGGGATCCTGTGCCTTTGCAGCCGCTGTGCTGGCACTCGAGTTCCTTCCCTCTTGCCACACCAGGACAGTGTCCCCCCTGCTTCTGCCAGAGCTACTACCCCTTCCTTTTCTTTTGTACAGACCGAGCCCTTCCATCCCCCGGAGCAGGCTTCGTCAACGCAACAGGACCAGGGCCTCCTGAATCGGCCGTCTGCCTTCAGTACAGTCCAGAGCAGCACTGCGGGCAACACGCTCCGCAACCTCAGTCTGGGTCCTACCCGTCGCTCTTTGGGGGGCCCTTTGTCTAGCCATCCTTCTAGGTATCACAGAGAACTTGCGCCTGGACTTACAGGTTCTGAGTGGACCCGGACAGTACTCACTCTGAACTCACGCTCTGAGGTAGAATCTATGCCTCCACCCAGGACCAGTGCCTCCTCAGTGAGTTTGCTGTCTGTGCTGAGACAGCAGGAAGGTGGCTCTCAGGCATCTGTGTACACGTCAGCCACAGAAGGAAGGGGTTTTCCATCATCAGGGTTGGCAACTGAATCAGATGGAGGGAATGGTTCTAGCCAAAACAACTCGGGCAGTATTCGCCATGAGCTTCAATGTGACCTGAGACGCTTCTTTTTGGAGTATGACAGGCTGCAGGAGCTGGATCAGAGCCTGAGTGGGGAAGCTCCCCAGACCCAACAGGCCCAGGAAATACTCAACAATAACATTGAATCTGAGAGGCCAGGTCCTTCCCATCAGCCCACCCCTCACAGCAGTGAGAACAACTCCAACCTTTCTCGGGGCCACCTTAATCGCTGCCGTGCTTGCCACAATCTTCTGACCTTCAACAATGATACCCTGCGTTGGGAAAGAACCACACCTAACTACTCATCCGGTGAGGCTAGCTCTTCCTGGCACGTCTCCACTACCTTTGAGGGCATGCCACCGAGTAGCAACCAGTTGCCACCCCTTGAGAGGACTGACAGCCAAACGCCTAGCTCCAGCAGGCTGGAGTTAAGCAGCTCTGCTAGTTCACAAGAGGAGAGGACTGTGGGGGTGGCCTTTAACCAGGAGACAGGCCACTGGGAACGAATTTATACCCAGTCCAGCAGATCTGGAACTGTATCACAGGAGGCCTTACATCAAGATATGCCTGAAGAAAGCTCTGAGGAAGATTCCCTCAGGAGGTAAGCAGCTGCTGTCCTCTGTTCTAGCTTCCTGTCTCTCCTTATATCCATTGCCCTGCAGTCCTAGTGATGGTGTGCTTTATCTGAGACCCATGCATCTGGCTCTGATCTCCTTCCATCATCTTGGGAAATCTTGCTTTGGAGGCAGAGATAAGATCAGGCCTAGTGGTATGAGTCAACCGTTGTACTAGTTTATTTTAGTCTAAGCCCAAGGCTCTGTCTGGCTTTAGCCTTGAAAGGGAAATGGGAGATTGGGTAGACAGGCATGAGGAGATAGAATTATCATTATTATTATTTTTGCCTTGAAATATTATAGGTATAGGGTAGTTGTTGAGAGAAAAGTATGTCCCAGAGGACTCTTTATAGTGGATGATTTAAAAAAGACCCAGAGTGTGAGGGGTATTTTGTTTAGCATTTTGTTCTACCTGTTCTTTGAATGTATTGTTTTGAACAACTTCAGTTCGATAAGGAGCTGAAGAATTTATGTTTGAATATATGTATGTCAAGGAAACTGTTTTTTTGGTTCTTAGAGACAGGGGTTCTCTGTGTATCCCTGGCTGTCCTGGAGCTCACGTTGTAGACTAAGCTGGCCCAAATTCATACAGATCAGTCTGTCTCTGCTTCTGGAGTGCTGGGATTAAAGGCGTGCATAAATTTACCAGATTTATGGTTTTGGATAGCACTTTATTGGCTCATTTAGGTTTTTTTGTTTTGTTTTGTTTTTGTTTTTTGTTTTTGTTTTGATTTTGATGTTTATGGAGATTGAACTCAAAGCCTTACAAATATACTTCCACATCCAAAATTCTTTGAATGAACATTCCAGATGGCCATTTACCTTGGGGTAGGGGAAAAGAATTCATAGAAGGAAGGCCTTTCCATACATGGATTGGCATCCCAGACACCTCTCATGAAAGAAATCAAGTAGGAGTAATAAATTACCCACCACATGTTCCATGAATGGCTATATGCACATCTATCCTGATTTTAAAAAGGACTTCTTTCTGTGATTATGTAAAGGTCAAATTTAGTGTAATCACCAATCCCAGAATATTAGAGTCAAATATATTATTCAACATTATATCCTGTGCTGAAGCAACTGAATTTTTTCTGACATAAGCTAAGAAAGGTGGGAATATGGATTGTGTACTTGTTATCATGTACTTGTTATTTTTGGAGGATGCTTTAGTCAGTCATGTAGTCAATAAACACTAGTGGAATGGTTATGATTTTTCCAGCACTGTGCTAGGCACTGTGCCCACTGGAGTATGCAGTATTACTGTGGAGGAAAGACATATTTACATAAAATCTATCACAAGTGTAGATGATCTGGTACTACTTTAAAAAATTACATCTAAATTTATTGTGTACATTAGGGTGCTGCGTATACATTAGGGTGCCATGACACATGTATGAGGTCATAGGGCAGCTCAGGAATTGGCTATCTTCTTACACCACGTAGATCCTGGGGTCATCAGGTTATCAACATCAGGCATGGTGGCAAATACCTTTAACCTGCTTAGACTTCACACCATCTTCAATCTGGTGCTTCTTTGTGTGCTACTGATGCTAAGTGGAAGCTAAGCAAAAACAAAACAAAATGAAAAAATTATTATAATTTTAATGAAAGGGAACTATTACCAAAAAAGAATATATAATGTCTAGTAACAGAAGATCGGTAATGCTTCGGGAAGAAAAGGCCCCCCCTTCCTTTTTTTAGGGTAATAAAACATTCTGAAGGAGAAAAATAAATTATATGATACATGCAGAATGGTGGGGACAGGGAGTCTGGCTGGATATTAGAGATAGACAAAGTAATAATGTTGTTTCTGTGCCTGAGTGAATGAGGCCATTTCTTGGAGAACAGCTCTGGATTTCTAGCTTGGAATTCCTACCTTTGCTTAAGGGCCCCACATCAGGAGCTTGGGACTATGTTCGTCCTGAGAAGCAAGAAGGCAGCTGGCACAATGCCTGGCGTGCTGTTGGTACTCAGAACTTATAAAAGGCAGTTAGGAGAGGGCTGTCTTCAATTCGCTGACGTTAGAAGCTGATCGTTTCCAGCCTTCAAAATAACTGAGCAAACTTTGGTCAGTGGTTGTCCATCTTTAACAGTACTTCGTCATGTGCTGTTTTACTGAGTAATTCCCAGATGGCTTAAAATAAACCCCTACCGTATGCAGAACATTAGAGATACCACTTAATAAGGGCCTACTATGTAAGGTACCATACTCTTCATTTGAGGTTATTGGAAGCAGGGGGTAGGACATGCTGGGGGACATAATTTTTGATTTCTGCAACAGCGTGTAAGACAGGCATTAAATTTCTTACTTTGCAGTTAAAAATTAGTCCCTTAGAACAGTCAGAATTTCTTGTTAAATGTGCTTGAGGATGGGAGCTTGAGAGATGGCATCGTGGCTCAGAACACATATGTGAATATGAGGAAGGACTTACATTTAAATTCCAAGTACTCACATAAATAGCTACAAGTGGCACCTGTGCTTCTAACCTCACTGTAATTTTAGGAACCTTGCTGACCAACCTAGCTGAAATGATGATTTCCTGGTCCAGTAAGAAACCTGTTTCAAAGGAATAAAGTAGAAAGTAGTAGAGCAGGACTTTCAATGTGCTTTCTTCTGGCTTCTAGATACGGACACATGCATGTACATATGCATATACCACACACTCAAAAAAAAAAAAAAAACAGAAAAGAAAAAAAGTATCACTTAGTAGGCCACAGTGAAGATTTAAACTCTGTTCTGCATTACTAAAGCTTTGTCCAGCTGTCAATGCATGGCACAGTTCTTAATATGATAATTGCTCAGTTGTATCATTCTTCTTTTAGATTATTTATTTAATTATATATGTGTGTGAGTTTTGCCTGCACGTGTGTACGTGCACTATGTGTGTGCCTGGTTCTCATGGACACTAGAAGAGAATGAGATCACCTGGACTTAGAGATGATTGTGAGCTGCTATATGGGTGCTAGGACTCTAACCTGGGTCCTGGGCAAGAACAAATGCTCTTAATTGCTAAGCCATCTCTTCAGCTCCTCTCATTTTTAAGTTTTTATTTCATTCACTTATGTGTATATGGTGTGTTCATATGTATGTTATAGGGAGGTCAGAGGCAAAGGATACTTTCTACCTGTGGGGCCCAGGGCATCAAACTCAGATAGGTCATCAGGCTCAGTGTCAAGTGCCTTTTAGTCAGTGAGCCATCTCTCCATCCTGATGAACCATAGTTTTTGTTTGTTTGTTTGTTTGTTTGTTTTTAATTTACTCATTTATTTCATTTTTAAATTTAAACATTTTTTTTTTGAGACAGAATCTCACTGGTCTGATAACCTTAGTTTTAAATGAAATACTTCTGTTTATTAATTTTTCTCATAATTTTTAATGTAAAAATAATAAGAATAATAAATCGATGTGTGTGTATATCACTTCATATTAAAAAACCATCAATGGGGGGCTGGAGAGATGGCTCAGCGGTTAAGAGCTCTAGCTTATCTTCCAGAGGATCCAGGTTCAATCCCCAGCACTTACATGGCAGCTCACAACTGTCTGTAACCCAGTTTCAAGAGGATCTGACACCCTCACATAGACATACATACATACATATAGGCAAAACATCAATATACCAATGCACATGAAATAAAAATAAATTATATTTTGAAAAAATAAGTGGTCAGCTAGTTGCTTTTCTGTTTTGTTTTTGTTTTCCCTTTTTTCTATATGTGTTCACTACCCCAAACAAGATAGTCTGTATTTTTGTCTGTAATTACTTCATTATTTGTAGAACAAAGCTACACAGTGAAACTTTCTGTGTTGATGAAAATGTTCTGTATCTGTGCTTGCAAAATGAGTACATATCACTACTGAGTAACTGAAATGTGGCTGTTGGTATCTGAGGAACTAATTTTAATTTTTATTACTTACACTGTATGTAGAAAGATGTGACTAGTTACTACCATATTGCAACACATAAAATACTATAATTTCTTAAAATTAAAACATAGTGTGTGAATACCAGAGTGTATGTGTGGAAGTCAGGGGACAACTCTATGGAGTTCATTTTCTTTCCACCTTCATATCGGTGCCAGGGATTGAACTCAGGCTACAGAAAGTACTGTTACCCATTGAGCCATCCTTTTTTATTTTATTTTTAATTTTTAAAGATTTTTTATTCTTTATAAGCATTCTGCCTGAACACCGGAAGAAGACACCAGATGTCACTATAGATGGTTATGAGCCACCATGTGGCTGCTGGGAACTGAACTCAGGACCTTTGGAAGAAAAGCTATTGTTCTTAACCTCTAAGCCATCTCTCTAGCCTGAGTTTTGGTTTTTCGAGACAGGATTTTTCTGTGTAGCCTTGGCTGTCATGCACTTTGTAGACCAGCCTGGCCTTGAATTCACAAAGATCCACTTGGCTTTGCCACTCTGAGTGCTGGGATTACAGGCGTGTGCCACTGCGACTGGCTCCCATTGAGCCATCTTGACATTAACATTGGTAGCCCTCTTTTGAAAAAAATGTTTTTGAGACATGGGCTTTCTTTGAAGACCAGGTGGGTCTGGAACTTGAGAAAATTCTTGTGCCTCAGCCTCTTGAGTGCTGGGATTATAGGCGTGTGCTAAAATGCCGCTTAATAATCTTTGTTATACTTATTTGTTGTGTGGGTGCACATGTGCTACATGTGTGGAAGTCAGAGCACAGTATTTGGGAGTTGGCTCTCTCCCTCTGCCATGGTGGTCCTGGGGATGACTCAGGGTCTCAGGATTGGTGGCAAGTGCTTTCACCCACTGAGCCATTGTCCTGGTCATTGGCTGCTCATTTTTTGAGTAGGCTTTTAAAACCCTAGAAACTCGTAAGGGTTTGATCAGGATCATTTGTTTTCATATTTTCTTTTCTTCTAGTGATTAAAAGGTAACTTGTGTTTTGACTTCCATGATGTTGAAGCTTTGAAAATGTGCACTGTACGGCTGAGAGTGCCGTTGAGCAGTAGA